TTCCCCTCCCCCATGGGTTCCTGTTAAGTTTCTCAGGATCCACATAAGAGTGAAACCATATGGTATCTGTCTTTCTCTGTATTGAAAGCCTTTATAGTATCTTCCTGTATTCCTTTCAAGATTGCAAAGATGGAATGTTACTGTTTTATCAGGAAGGCATTAAAATGCATTTATGAATTCTTCTTGGCTTCACTCATGAATAAGCATTTGCTGTGAGCAGTTAAAAAAAAAACCACGCATGTGCTTGTGTGTGCGCAAGCACTTTTCTCTCATGTCCATGTTAGCAGTGAGCCTACCTCTTCCGGAAGGTCCTGTTTTAAACAGAAACACAGGCTGCGGGTTGAAAACGTCAGAGGGCAAGAGGTGGCAGGGCTGGGAGCTTGTCCTCTGTTGGTCAGTGTGTGTTTGTTGAGGGCCGGCTGCACAGTTCCGCATGGTAAAGTTTATTAGACCAAAGTGACGGTCCTGGCCGAGTTCTCAGCTCAATTAATAGGCTTTTTTCTTCTCCTGCCTGCACAGCATCGCCTAAGGAATTAGGGATTGGGAAAAAGGAAGAGGAGGGAGATAGAGAAGGAGAGATTGGGAGAAAGAAAGAGAGAGGGAGAGAGATGTTTTTCAGCAGGAAGAAAACGCCATGGTCCATGTCCATTGGCCTCATAGAAGCTGTCATTCTCTTAATGTTACCTTTTCCTCGCCAGTTGCACCTTCACGCGTGTTTTTGCTTTCTTATTCATCTTTCTGGCCATGGCATTTCATCCCTGACTAAGCCTTCTCATGCTGGCAGCATAGTTTCTGTGCACGTTCCCATTCGTGGTGAACACAGAGATGCTTCCCACACCACACCAACCTCTATCCTTGTACACCACAGGCACGTCCATCTGGAAGGCCTTCTTCTTCACGCCCAAGTTCAGCCCCGAGGGCGCCAACGGCTGCTTTTCCACACACGTGTGTTTCTGCCACGGGCATTCTGTCAGCTACCATCAGCCGCCGTTGCTGTTTGATATTTCCAGAGACCCCACAGAGAGAAACCCAGTGACGCCAGCGACCGAGCCCCGGTTCCAGGAGGTCCTCGACACCATGCAGCAGGCAGTAGACCGTCACACCAAGACCCTGAAGGCGGTCCCCAATCAGTTGTCACTGGGCAACATTGTCTGGAAGCCGTGGCTTCAGATGTGTTGCTCACCGTCAGGCCTGTCTTGCCAGTGTGACCGAGAAAAACAGGCCAGGAGAGCAAGCCACTAGCTGTTCGTCCGGGGTGACACTGGGCAGCCCCAGCCCTGTGGGAGCCTCGCACTCTGGTGCGTTGGCCGCCATGATTCCCCTAGCCCCCAAAACAAGGGGATAACACTGAAAAAGCAATTAGTAAATCTCCACATATGCAACTTACAATGAGCAAAGGGCCATGAAGTACATCACGCTAAGTTGCAGTTGGGCTCGTGGAAGGCAATTATTATCGGTATTATTTAGAACACATATCAAATGCTATTCATGATAGATGTACTTACATACTCACAGTTCATTTCTTTCCTTGAGAAACCTGAGATACTTAAACTAGGAAGCTAGAAGCTGATCACTTTTGAAGTAAAAGCAGGAGAGGCTCACAGATGGATGTGTATTGTTCAACAGACTTTGTGAGAAATCCTTCCTTCAGGAGCAATAATCGCCAAAACAAATCTCTCCCGAAGGGATTTCCGTTTTATAATTTATAGTATTATATTTGGGTTTTACTGATTCTTCGGTGAATGGAAATTCTGAAATAAAGGCTACCTCAGGGTAGGGTGGGGGGGCTGGAGTGAAAGGAATCCGTCCCAACGTGATGCAGAAGTATTGGCATGGCACGTGGATGATTTGCAGGCAAAGCATTCGTAAGCAATCCATGATCCACGCGTGATGCTGTGATGTGTTTAGTGGTTGCAGGATTTACTGATGAGACCAGAGGAGTTAATGTAAGCCCTTTTGTTTTGTGTTCTCATGTCCTACGGCTACGAAATCCCTATGCCTCCAGCCCTCAGTGAAGCGTACAACTTTGTTCTAATTCTGTTTCTTCCGACATCGATAATTAAGGGACAAGGCATCACGAGGCTACACAGGCGATGGACGGACAGTGGCTCAGCTGGAGAAGGGTCCTGAGTGTGAGCCCCCACCGAGGAACAAGTGCACCCGGGTGGACAAGGCTTACATCACTTGTTCAGACAGTATACGTTCTCCAACAGTATCACGTGGATTCCTTTCCTGGTCCGTGGACAGGAGCTGCTGTCCCTGTGGCTACCCAGTCATGTCTTTTGTGAACGGGTCTCAGCACCGTCTGCTGGCCTCATGTTGGCTCAGTTCCAGGAGAGGACAGCCACATGGAAAGTCTGGAGCCTGCGTGGCTGAGTGGAAAGAATGTGCTCTGTCCACGTTCCCACAGTGGGCTACACTTCTCTCTACTCGTCCCCCATCAATCACTTCCAAGATCAGCGATAGTGTCCTAGTTCCTCTTGACATCTGTGATTTTAGATTTTGATGTTTGTTTTCTTTCCCTTCAAACCTGCAAGTGAGTTTTCCTCCTCTCCCCAGTTGAGTGGTGGAAAGTTGGAGAGCAAACAGCATTCTCAACTTCTCATGTGGATTTCACACTCCAGAAATTGCCAAAAACCTGTCGTATTACTTTAGGAACCATTAAAGAATGCACTAGCATGTTAATAACGTGTTAGGATTATTGCTGATGTTACCAGGCAGAAACTACTTAAAACCTCTGTTAGGAACTTAGGTTTTCAGCTGATCATGTTTATTCAAAGTTTAACACACTCCATGCAAGTGGACTTTTAGACAGCGCTTGATGGTGTGGGCATGTATGTTGGAGGATGGAGTAATTTAAAGCACTTTTACAGATTATGTGGATACACATTTATGTACAGAGTTGTTCAGCCTGTACCATGTTAGCAGCAAATGAAGGATACATATACCTCTAGAAATAAAATGAGCTGTCACATATTTGCCTCAAAATAAGTTAAATCACCATTACGAATCAGGGTATTTGAAAATCAGGTTTAGTCATAATAACGGTGATTCTTAGATTTCAGACCACTTGCCATCTGAAAGTTTTGCTTGGGATGTACGGCAGGAAATTTGAATTCTTTTGTTCAGGGAACACCAAGCAGGCCTTCTTTACAACCTGGTTTTGTGTTTGTTGGTTTTACAAAGCTGTACGAGCCTACTTGTTTTCAAAGAATCTCAGTGGTATTACGTACCATAAGGTTTGTATGTCCAAACCTTCCTGGGTTTTGAAGGTTTCAACAAATTCTTCCGCAACAAAAGCACTACATTCGTAGCATTTCATAGACATGCCAAGCTAAGCAAACAGTAACGTGTAGACAGGCATCGTTTTCCAAGGTCAGTGACGCCGTGTGAAAACCAGAATCCCACCCTACGTCGTGAAGGATTCAAGAAGGGAAACAGACATTAGGTTGCCCTGAAGGACGCAAAGAGGAGAGCAGAGAAAAGATGTGGGTCCGGTGTCAGGTCTGCCCCTGAAGAATGCCACCTGTAAAGCGATGGCATCTGGTAAAGGGTTCTGAGAACCTTGTTCTTTTTTTTTTTTTTTTTTTTTTAATTTTTTTTTTCAACATTTATTTATTTTTGGGACAGAGAGAGACAGAGCATGAACGGGGGAGGGGCAGAGAGAGAGAGAGGGAGACACAGAATCGGAAACAGGCTCCAGGCTCTGAGCCATCAGCCCAGAGCCTGACGCGGGGCTCGAACTCATGGACCGCGAGATCGTGACCTGGCTGAAGTCGGACGCTTAACCGACTGCGCCACCCAGGCGCCCCTTCTGAGAACCTTGTTCTAATGCCCATGCAAACTTAAAATAAAACTCTCCTTGAAAGAAATGTGTCGTATGGCTCTATTTTCCTGTGTGACTCGATTCAACGGGTACGCGGAGGGCTTTACTATGCTAAGCAATGGCAGATACAGGTTTCAATTCAACAAATATTGATCGTGTCCGAAAGCCTCAGGGAAGGGCTCAGAAATACAGAGATGGGTGAGGAGTATGGTAGCCCCTCACCTCCAGGACTAGTTAGCCGTCACGCACACTGCCTCAGGCCTTTTCAGGTGGCGCACAAAAAGTGCCTTAATTTCTTGTAAATCAGAAAGAAAAACATAAACCCTTGGGGTTGGAGGTCATGTGCACACGTGTAGCAACCGGTGGTGAAATAGAATCTTAGTGTGTTCACATATTTTAGATTCTTGTGTAACATGCCATTATCTTCTTTTTTTTTTTAATGTTTAGTTATTTTTGAGACAGAGAGAGCACAAGCAGGGAGGAGGAAGAGGGGAGAGAGAGAGAGAGAGAGAGAGAGAGACAGGGAATCCCGGGCCGACTCTGCACTGTCAGCACAGAGCCCGATGCGAGGCTTGAACCCACAAACCGTGAGATCATGACCTGAGCCGAAACCAAGAATCGGATGCTCAACTGACCGAGCCACCCAGGCGCCCCTCATGTCATTATCTGAAAACCTATTTAATGCGTTTTTCCTTTATGGGCCCGTGAAAGTCTCAACTAGCCCTGTGCTCAAGTGAAACGCCCTCCTTTCCTTGACAGATACGTGAAGCAGAGAATTCTGCGGGGTTTAAATTTTGAAACAGGAAACGTTGGCCTCTCTGGTCTGTCATGGGACTGGATTCCTTCTGAATCCTTTGGAAGACCGAAGCAGAGTCTGGATAAAGCCCCGTGGCAGTAAGAAGGACAAGGAAGATGTGTGTGAACGCTGGGTCCAGGGGTGGGGGTAAGGGGGCCCGTCATTTGACCCAGCACTGCTGCGCAAAAACTCAGTTGGGTGCTTAGGGGGAGGTCTGTGTGGACAACACACTCTGGATCTCAAGCCTCATTACTCCCCTCGTTAGCCCTCAGAGAATGTGATTTGTGATGTAAATGACCATGTCCCCCTTAAATACAGGCTCCGTCCAGGACAGCTGCAACGGGTCTGAGGGTGGGGCTCTCTCTCACTCTGGTATCACGGACTCCTGTGTTGCCACAGCTCCGTCCTGCGAACATCACTTAATACCATTGTTTTGTTTAGCGGGCTCTCAATATAGCACTCGTAATTTGCCGGGACTTAGTATTATGCTAAAGGGGAAGGACATGTCAGCTCTCCTAATTAGGACACTAGCAGCTTGGAAAGTGCCCATGAGTTCACACAAAGGAGGCATTGTTCACGTAAGAAGAAAACACCATATCACAGACCCTCAAATGTTTGCTCTAAAAACGGTCCGACTCATTGGGGCGCCTGGGTGGCTCAGTCGGTTAAGCGGCCGACTTCGGCTCAAGTCATGATCTCACGGTCCATGAGTTCGAGCCTCGCATCGGGCTCTGTGCTGACAGCTCAGAGCCTGGAGCCTGTTTCAGATTCTGTGTCTCCCTCTTTCTCTGACCCTCCCCTGTTCGTGCTCTGTCTCTCCCTGTCTCAAAAATAAATTAAAAAAAA